TATAAACTTTTTGCTCTTTAATTACATTTTAAATCAATAGAAACCAGAATCTACCTTATATATATTAAAGCTCTCTCTCTCTCTCTCTCTCTCTCTTTCTCATTACGTGTATTATTGTGAATCAAATATTTAAATTAACAAAAAATTTGTTTTACAGCAAACTTTACATAATGTTAATCCATTATTGCACAACAAATATGTAGTGGCATACCTTATAAATGATAATGTAGCACATATGATGTATAGTTATTATGTAAAGTTATTATGGTGGGTTATTACCAAACTACCAAATATTATGGCATTTGATAACTATTATTGCTAACTTAAAATAAATTACAAATAGTTGCATGTTGTTACATGTATTTTCACACTGATAGGAACTTTAACTGAAAGTTCAAATTAGTTGACAAAAGATTTTTATAATGGTCAATTTATTAACATGCAATTTAATACAAAAAAGTATTAACAAATATATTTTAATAATAAATTTTTAATGACAAAAGGACTTTTTGGGCTATCATACACTTTATGATCATATTTTGGTTAACCATTTTTACAGCGCTGTTTTTGTACCAAGGTACTTTATGTTTATAGTCCTTTTATACACACTCTTGAGCTCATATTTGATACACACTCTCATTGATAGCCCTTTTGTATTGCAATACATTGACAGCTGTTTTACACACTCTTATAATTTAAACTTAAATCTAGTCTTAAATCTATGCAAACTTTTTTTACTAAAAATTATTTCTGCTCACAATTTCATAGCAATTATTTTGTTACAGTTTTTTGTTAAATATTTTTATTAAAGAGAGAGAGAGAGAGAGCTTTAATATATATAAGGTAGATTCTGGTTTCTATTGATTTAAAATGTAATTAAAGAGCAAAAAGTTTATAATATAGAGATTATGTAAAGTTATTATTACATACAGTGCAGTACTTAACTTTAATAGTTATTTGTAATAATAATATTAATATTTATAAAAATTGTAATATAAGTAAATTTAATAATTTATATTGTACGGCACAAAACAGTACAGTTGTACATTTGATTTTACTACAGTATATAACTAACATGATTGAACAAAACCTTGATAAGCTCACATTTTTAGCATAATAATGCAACTGTTAACTAACAAGCAATAGCACCTGAGGTATGTGTATTCAAGTTAATTAAATATGCCAAATAATGATGCAAACGTCCTTGATTAGTTCGGTGTGGAATCAAATAGGGTATATAAACCACAAAACAGATACAGTTTAGTTCAGTTAATATTTAATAATACATAATACAATACTTTTGATAAAAATAATTTTACTTATTGTCAAAATAATGTCGACTATAAGAGACTTTACGGGGAAAGTAGTGCTGATCACCGGTTCGAGTGCTGGAATCGGAGCCACGACTGCCATTGAGTTCTCGCGATCGGGCGCTCAGGTAGTGATCACCGGACGAAAGGCAGTNACGGGGAAAGTAGTGCTGATCACCGGTTCGAGTGCTGGAATCGGAGCCACGACTGCCATTGAGTTCTCGCGATCGGGCGCTCAGGTAGTGATCACCGGACGAAAGGCAGTGAATGTGACACAAGTGGCCAATGAGTGCCATAAAGTGTCGCCAAAAGGCTTGAAAGCACTGGAAGTGGTGGCGGATGTGACCAAAGAGGATGACTGCCGACGTCTGGTCGACACCACAATCAAGTCTTTCGGGAAGTTGGATATTTTGGTGAATAACGCTGGTTATGGGGCCATCACTTCCATCTATAATAAAGACATTTTGGACACTTATGACAGCGTTATGGCCACTAACTTGAGATCAGTTGTCTATTTGACACATCTCTGTGCACCACATCTGGAGAAAACTCGGGGTAATATTGTTAACATCTCAAGTGTCGCGGGTCTAAAACCGGTTAGTTTTTTTTGCTTTGTTTTTAAATTAATAATTATTTTAAATGCAATTACAAATAATTAAAATATAATTATTTTGACCGATAGTACGAACAGATGGCCATATATTGTATGTCAAAAGTAGCGTTGGATATGTTTGCTAAATGTCTGGCCCTTGAATTGGGCCCCAAAGGCATTCGTGTCAATACAGTCAAGTAATTATTAATTTAAAATTGTGTCATTCATTATAATTAATATCTTTATATAATGACAGTCCGGCAGCCGTGCGGACCAACTTTGGCACAGCTATGGGTCTATCGCAGCAACAGTACGACGACCTACTGGTTGATAGGGCGCAGTCGTACCCATTGGGACGGGTGGGCGACTCCATAGACATCGCCAACGCTGTGCTATTTCTGGCGTCAGACGAGTCGTCGTTTGTCACCGGAGCTAATCTACTGTCCGACGGCGGGTCTCTTAACGCGGCCGCCACTACTGGTGTATTTAAAAAATAAATTGACCATGTATTTTTATTGTTATTAATTGAATTACCATGACCAGTTTATGAAGTACAGTAAAGTATTATTTCTATTAAAATACAATGTTTTAACCAGTAGTAAATGAAAGTGTATTACAATCGCTTAATTTTGATTATCATATCTAATTGAATGATTTTATTTGTAAATTAAATATTTTGTAACTTCTCAAACATTTTATGAATACCAATCATTATAACTCTTAAATAATTTTTTTGTGACTGAGGCACAGGCAAATAGAGATTCAGAATCACTATGATTCAAATATGATTGGCAAATTTGAAAATTCAACCTAGCTCATTTGTTGGCCTTGTAATTTACCAAACCAGACAGTTTTCCTGTATATAAGGGATTGTCAGTATACATTATTGTCTACA